TATATCATTACAACGTTTCATTTTAAATCATTTTTTTATGAAATTGTAAATGACATTTTTCTATTTATATATTTTGTAGGTTACTACTTCAACTCAAAATTTTTCTATTTGACACTTGAACATCCCCACAAGATTATGGAAGGGGTCAGATACATTATTGCAAGGTTGGAGAGAAGCCATCGAAACCAAATAGCAGCAATACAAGAGGTATTATTTAATGTTTGGGTAAGAACTTCATTTAGTTATATTTGTGAGGAATAATGCACTAAAACATAATATATTTGTTTTAGCTTGCTATGTATAGGGATGCTATAGGATCTTTCGGAACTAGACTTGTCAGTAATTCTCTAATTATGATGGATCCAGGTTATCCCCTCGCTAATATTTTGTTCATTCATATATTTAATCTTATGAATTGTTCTTACCCTTGCAATGTTTTTTGCATTTTAATCCAGCTGAATGGTGAGAGATATATGGTACTGATGCACCTCACCTAAAGAGGATAGCAATTAAGGTGCTCTCCCAGATATGTTCTGCTACTGGCTGTGAGCGAAACTGGAGTACGTTCCAATGGTTGCACACTACTAGGAGGAATCGACTTGCTTCTGAGAAGCTTCATAAACTAGTGTACGTTCATTATAATTTAAACCTCCGAGAGCGACAAATAAGAAGGAAGCTTGAAGACTATGGGCCGATAGACTTACACACAATATTTGTCACAGACACAGCAGACCAATGGGTAGTAGAAGAGGAGGAGCCAATATTGCATAAGAGAGCGTTCTTTGAGGCTATCGGTGAGGAAGATCTTGAAGAAGGTGATGAGCAGCATGAAAGAGGCAGTAGCCAGCCAACGTATCCACAATTCGTCGGAGATGTCGGTGATATTGCACCTAATGAGGGAGAGTGGGAAGGGGGTCTAAGAGAAAATGAGAAAGACGATGATTATGAGGCCACTTTATCCCAGCCATATTATTCACATATCGAGTCCCAACAACAAAGTGTAGGGATGAGCACGACAGTGGAGGTGAGCACGAAGGATGAACAAGCTTCGAAGATTTTGGATTGGGAACACAACAAAACACTAACACTTAAGGATTTGGGTATAGTCAGACGCCTGCTAATATCGATGATTCATTTTTAGATCGAATCAATGAATTGTCAAACGAATTCAATCAATGGCACCAGCGTGACCAAGAAGAACAATAACGTCATCTGTCATTTTATTTTTAGATCGTATGTTACTAATTGTATGCTTTATTGTAGTCCATGTATGTTGATATACTTATTCCATGATAATTCTATGTTTATCCTTTTGTGTGATGTAAATTAAATGCTGAATAGTAGTTTATGTAGGGAAAGAACATATCAATATTCGCATATTCATGCAAAAACATGAAAATTCTTAATAGAGTACCTTCATTTCTTATTGAATTCCTAAAAAACAATATTTATCATGAATTTTAATAATTTTTTCGGATTTTTTTGAAACTTTATTCTGACCGATTCACGCTATTCTCGATCCGAATCGTCGATTCATCGATCCGAATTGGTTTTTGATGTGCCCGATCCGGGTTACCGATCCGCTTTTTAAACCAATCATCTAGAGTGTCTATTTTAGCCTTAAAATGGATACTCAAAAAAGCATAAAATCTGTATTAATTTTTTAGCCTTAAATTTCATGGTTAATGAAAATTGATTTTCAAGCTATCATGGAAATTTTTGATGCCCAAAATGTTTTTCGAATTCAACACCAAGCTTTACTTTGTTTTCATAAAAACCCATGCCCTATGGAAACCACATCCATTACTCACCGTATCCGTCAAGACTCAAGGGGCCTAATAACTTTGGGCAAGGTTCCGATGAGTCATCTATTTACATGGGTGCCCACTCCAAAATCCATCATGAATCAAAATCTTAGGAGTTACCAATCTCAACATGGTGAACAGAAAAACAAATAAATTTTATTAAAAAATCTAAAATGGTATTTTTTATATTTTTAATATTATTTATCTTAATTTTATATTAGGGCCACCATTTTTTAAAATCTATCTTAAAGATGGATGTTTAATACATTGGGGGGATGCAGTTTGGCAAATACTTTTTCTTCAGAAAAATTAAGCCATCATCAGCTGGGTTTGCGAATTTTTCATTTCATGATCAAAGATCAAAATGCATATCGAACTGCAGGGGCCTCCAAGAGCTATCCAAAAATCCATTTATATTACTCAAATTATCAGGAGTCATGACACTTTCAACGATGATCACCGTCAACAATTATCAGATGCTCCACCATCAAACTCACCGACTAATGAGAGTTCCTTTTTGCGCACACAACTTTTGGTTAGTGTGTATTTCACATGGAAATAAATGTTAAATGATTCCTCATATGAAAATGGTAACTAGTCACATTTGGTGGCCTTGAGTAATGATGAATCCAACAATAAATGCGCAAAATATATGTATTGACCCTCCAGAACCACGTAATTGTCCAGAGAAGATAAATACCCAAAGGATGAAGCATCTTAACCAATATCCATAGATGCTTCCCTCTCCTTCCCATTGCTAGTGTTCGACCACAGCTTGATAGTTCGGTCCATTGCAACAGTTGCAATGAATTGGCCATCTACATTGCATCAAAGAAATACAAGAATGCGTGAATATGGCTACACAAACAAATAACTATTTAATAAGATAATCAAAATTCATAACTAAAAAATTTCTCTCTCTCTCTGTGTGACACAGACACACATGCACAAACACGCGCAAGCATACTTAACGGAGGCATGCATATCCAGGACCACTTAGTCTAGTCCTATCTTCTTACCACATTTTCAAAAGAAATAATTGTATAAGAATAAGAGGAAAGAGACGCACACAGTATGTTTTTTTTTAAAAATGTTAACCTTAAGAAGCACACAGTATGTTGCTAGGGAGTAGGGACGCTCAATGAGATAAAGAGTAGTTGTTTACCAGCTGATACATCTAGGCTTGCAACTTTTGCTTCGTGCCCTGAAAGGGTCTTGATAGGCTTGAAGTCTCGTGCAGACCACACCTGGCCCATATTATTTCACAATAAGACTTCCTAAGTTAAAAAAAAACAAAAAAACAAATCCTACACATTCTTTTGGCACATAGAGATGAATTGCGTCACCAAACAAAATTGAAGTACTGATTGAAGTACGAAACAACCATTTTAAATGTTTAAAAGAATGTTTACGTGTATTATAACTCGTTTACACCGGCGTTTTTTTTAACGTTTAAAATAATGTTTATGGAGATTATAACTTCGTTTACACCAATGTTTTAAAAATCGACAAA